TAGGATGGGACTACAAGTCAACGTAAAAAGAACGACGTGGGTGCCCAATGCTACCGTCAGACCGAAGACACTACGAGATGGTATTACAATGGACAAGGCTGGCCGTTTCAAGTACCTCGGAATTGTATTGATTAACGATAGCGACAATGATTCTGCGTACTCGATTGGTATGAGTGAATTTCAGCAGGCTGTATTAAATATTAAAAGACAGAACTGTAAGAACGAAGAACACCATTGTGAACGCAGTCGTATTCGCGATGCTCAAGTACAGTCTCGAAACAGCGCCGTATTCTCAAAGTTCAGTGGTATCCCCTTGTCACGAAGGAACAGATGCTGATGACCACAGTTCTGAGGAAACTATCAGATAAACTCAGAAAAGGCACTTGTATTGGTTTGATAAAACGGCCCAAAAAGAGAATGGAAAAATAATCTAACTTGGAAACTTGGACTGACCGGAGCAGCGTTGAAGGACAACACAAAACGTGGAAACACTTCGTTGAGGCAGATCCGCTGACCTTGCAGTCACTGACGTTTGTCAGTAGACCACCTGCTACTCTTTCTGTGCCAGATGTACCTAAGTAAAGTTAGTTGAATTCCTTGCCCAAGAGAAAGTGTAGTTTAGAGAAAGGTTGTGGGATTATAGAACCGGCCCCTCTGGAAGTCAAAGCCTTAGCGCTGTGCCACACCACCGCTCCTCCCTTCCTCCCCCCGCCGAATAGCAGTTGAGGGATTGAAAGTGACCTTGACTTGACTGGTAGAAGCATGTGCAAACTGTAAAATGTAACTGCCATGAATTATCACTGCTAATGAGAAAGGTTTTCTGGACTAACAAAATGATGCTAGATGCATGCATTTGTTGCAAATGGAACTACGTCTTGTTCAAATGACCAAAGAGGTTGGTACTTGACAGTACCGTGTAAACCGATTGGATGGGATTATGCTTGCTAAGCTGCCAAGAAGATAGCAAGAAGATCAGTTTGAGTAAAACCGAAATCATTCAGTGTGCTTTCAAGGTTGCAACTGAAACATGTGGTGAAACGTTAGTATCGCAGGATAGCGTTCAGGCAAGACGACATGAATGACATGAAAAAACGAATCGATCCTATGAGTGCAGTAATGAAGCAACTAAACCGATCTGTAATGACGATTGAGGTGAGTAGTAATGCGAGGCTTTCTCTCTTCCGGCTTGTCTACTCAATTACCCCCTTCCCCCTGTGGCCAAGATTACTGTATACTGACTAGGACAGTGCAACAGCGCATAAAAACGGCAGAAATTTAATTCATTCTTAGGTAAGGACGTTGGAACAAACATCTAAGAGAGTTCATTTTTCTCAAAAAATCTCAACTGTTTTGATTTCGTCACGTGATCAAGACGTCATAAAAAATTCGCAAACAGACAAATCATAAAACCGCATAGCAGAGAGTTAAGGGACCAGTAGGTTGAGGAGCAAAAATTCCAAATATTCTGAACGTTTGACTGTATGTTTGATCATCAAGCTGACCAGATTGGCATAGAATCGAGATCGCTGCAGAAACCTCCTGATGTCACTGTACCACTATCTGAAAGGAATTATGATATCTTCCCCTCGAGTTATTGTCTTCCAAACAAATCCGTGTCAAATGAAAAACAGTACAAGGCGCGGTTCATT